ACCCAAAAAATACTTCAGGACCCCGAGATCCTTCATATGAAAGCAGTCACTCAAGTATTGCTTAAAGCAAAGAATAGCTGAACTATCATTACCAGATATGATAAGATCATCCACATAGACTAGCACCGAAAGACGAATATCATGACGATGTAAAGTAAAGAGAGAGTAATCAGAATAAGACTGAGAGAAGCCATACTGTTTTAAAGCTCGAGACAGCTTAGCAAACTAGCACCGAGGAGCTTGTCTTAAACCATACAAAGATCTGCGAAGGCGACAGACCTGACCAGGTACAGAAGAGTGAAAACTAGGAGGAAACTTCATATAAACTTCTTCCTCCAAATCACCATGCAAGAAAGCGTTGTGAACATCCATTTGGTGTAGTTCCCAACCCTTGGAGACAGCCACAGCTAAAAACATACGAACCGTCACCATCTTAGCAACAGGAGAAAATGTTTCCTTATAGTCAATACCTTCAACCTGATTATTACCAAGGACCACAAGACGCGCCTTATAGCTCTCAATAGACCCGTCAGAATGATATTTTATCCGATAAATCCACTTACAACCAATGGCCTTCTTTCCCTGAGGAAGAGCCGTAACATCCCAGGTCTTATTTTTCTCCAAAGCCTGAATCTCAGATTGCATGGCAAGACGCCAACGAGCGTCTTTAACTGCTTCAGCAAAGGTCTGAGGTTCCACTGCAGAAGAAATAGCTGCCAAAAAAACCTGATGTGCAGGTGAGAAAGAATTACAGGTCACATAATGTGCTATAGGATAAGGCGTACCTGAGGATGATGAATGGACAGAGGAACCAGTGGGGGGTTGTGGGGGACAAATGGTGGCAGAAACATAGTCTCGCAGACGAGAGGAAGGTATCTTCGTGCGATGGCCACGGCCCAATGGTTCAACAGTGTCAGAAAGCTCATTGGAGCCCCCCCTGTCAACGAATACTTCAGCAGATTGAGAAACTGAAGGGGAGGACTCAATAGGAGGAACTGAAGAGGAGGACTCAACCAGAGGAGAGGAACTAACAACAATGTGCTCATCATTATCAATGATAGGAATAGACAAATCAGGACTCATACGAGTAGACTCCGCTGATACAGATGTCAAATAGGGAAAATCAGTCTCGTGAAACACAACATCACGAGACACCAAGAAAGTTCCTAACGCAATATCATAAACTTGCCAACCCTTTTTCCCAAAAGGATATCCAACAAAAACACAACGACGACTACGACTGGCAAATTTATCACCACCCCGGTCCCGATGATGTACATAACATAAGCACCCAAAGACTCGGAGGTGATCAAGAGGAGGGGCTTTGCCAAACAAAAATTCATAAGGAGATTTACCATCCAAAATAGGTGTCGGAAGGCGATTAATGAGATAGGCAGCAGTTAACGCACAGTGACCCCAAAACTCAAGAGGTAAATTAGCTTGAAAAAGTAAAGAACGAGCAACATTCAAGATATGTTGATGTTTGCGTTCAACCCGGCCATTTTGTTGCGGTGTACCAACACAAGATGTTTCATGAAGTATGCCATGATCACGAAAATAGGACCGAATACAGAGAAATTCAGAACCATTATCACTACGGACAACTTTAACCAACTTGCCAAATTGGCGGAAAACCATAGCAAAAAATTGTATCAAAGTCTTAGAAACCTCAGATTTATCCGTAAGTAGAAAAAGCCAGGTAGCACGGGAAAAATCATCAACCACTGTCAAAAAATATCTAGCACCAGAAAAAGTGGGAGTTCGATACGGACCCCACAAATCACAATGTATTAAATGAAAAAGCTCAACACTCTGAGTTTGACTGATAGGAAAAATTTCTCGTGATTGTTTTGCACGCAAACAAACATCACAAGCTGTATTATTCAAACAATCTCTACGAATAGAATCAGAAATAGCTAACTTTGCAAGAACACGAGACGACGGATGCCCCAGTCGGTGGTGCCACAAGGAAGAAGCCGAAGAGTCACCAGCACTAACAGCAGCAGTCGTAGCTGTCCCCCGGAACCAATAGAGACCCCCCAACTGTTCACCCGCGCCAATCACCGTCCTCGAAGTACGGTCCTGGATAACACAAAAAGTATTAGTGAACTGAGCAGTACAATGAGACTGATCCAACAATTGAAACAATGAAATCAAATTGCATTGTAAACTCGGAACAAACAACACATTGAGCAATTTGACATTGTTATTAAGAACAACCGTCCCAGCTTTGTTGGCAAGAGTCAAGGTGCCATTAGGAAGTTGAACCGGACATGCGTCAATATCCCGAATGTCCATCAAGTATTCCCGAAAACCTGTCATGTGATGTGTCGCACCACAATCATACATCCATTTGGCAGAAAAATACGTACCGGTAAGGGAATCAGAACCCCCATTTCGCGAGTTTAAAAGATCTATCACCTTGCGCCATTGATCATCATTAAGGCCGGTAACTGCCTTATCACCGGCACCCAACGAGAGAGATCCAGCCGAGGCATCAACAACGTGTGCTGCATGAGCACGCACCGACCCACGAGAAGAACCACCTCCACGTCCGGTATCACGACCGGCGGCTGCAGCAGGAAGAGAACCAAGCTGAGAAGAATCAGCACCACCGGGCGGAGCAGATGGTGTGCTACCAGTAGCAACTACGCGAGATCCCCGATACCAATCCGGATAGCCGTGCTTCGCGAAGCAAGTGGACTCATCATGATATGGTTTGCTGCAATAAGTGCAGATCAATTGACTTCTGTCAGGGCCAGAACGACCACGGCCACGGCCTCTCGAACTGGAGCCAGCAGCAGACATTGACGGCGGCGATCGTGAACCAGAAACAGCAGCGGCAAAGGGAGCAGCTTGAACCGCAAACGCCGCAGCATCGCCATCATGAATCTCAGACTCAGTTGCAGCCGAATGAAGCATCTCCTCATGAGTCATAACAGAGTAAGCACGATCCAAAATAGGAAGAGGATCTTGAGCCAAAAGATTTGACCGAGCAGTACCGTAAAGAGTGGCATCCAATCCCATCAAAAATTGATGCACTTTCTCGTCTTCACGTCGACGATCCCATTCGGCAGCAAGATTGCAACGACAAAGACCACATTTGCAGACCGGTGGTTGATCGTAATCAGCCAACTCCTCCCAAATTTTGATCAATTTGCCGTAATAGGAAGCTACGGACAAACCTTTCTGCTTGCATTCGGCCAAAGATGATTTGAGTTGTTGAATACGCGTGCCATTAACAACGGAGAACCTCGATCGAATGTGATGCCATAATTCTCGAGCATCCTCCAGAGAAGAAATCGTGGACCTGGTGGAAGGCTCGATGGTGTTCAAAATCCAGGAACACAGTAAGCTATTATTCGCCCACCAATCAGCAAGAAGATCATCATCACCGACGGGAGGTTTGATCGAACCATCCAGAAAGCCAAATTTTTTTCGAGCCCGAAGCGCCATTCTGATCGCTCGTGACCATTCTTCATAATTGCTGCCTTTAAACTGAACATTGGTAATCAACGAATCGGGATTATCATTCGCCGTCAAATCGTAGGGCGAGATCTTTCGCCGGTTAGCCACAGCAGTATTGCTGTCAATTGGAGCAACCGTCTGCTCCTTCACGCCGGAGGTTTCAACACGATCACCCATGATCGAGAAAAAAAAAAAAATTTGTATAGATTTAGAACAAGATCAACCTTGCTCTTGATACCATGACAAAACTTGAATGAACCGGCATTCCTCTTGAATGTCTGCCGAAAAAGTTACGTTTCATTAATCACTTTACAATATTTATACAATTAGGGTTTCCAGTTAGGGTTTCGGTAAAACCGTACAAAGTAAATAAACATTTACAAACCCCTATATATTTACAATCGCTAACAAGAACTGCAAAAGTTCAGCCATGTTAACAATAGAGCACTCGACCAGTATGTTATTGTCAAAGAGCAACGAGAGGAACTCAAAAGACGGCAAGCTGAACTCGATTCAGGATGAAGCACGTTCATTTTTCATCAATGTTTTATACAACTGATGACACGTTAGGCTCCCCTGATTTATTTGGTTTTATTTATTCCACTTTACAGAAAATTAAAGACCTAATAAAAGTATTGGATATGAGAAGAGATGAATCAATCGAGCGAACATTTAAAGCCGTGGCTAAGCATTTCCAAGAATGTTTTTCTGAGCTGGTTCAAGGAGGCCGTGGGTATTTGATTATGATGAAGAAAAAGGTAGGTCTTGGTAGTGCTCTTGAATATCTTTGTGGCTGGATTTATTTGAAGTAGATAATAGCAAGAATTCTCAGCACGCCTTGAGGAGATTTTTGGAACTTTCCCGGTTCTTTATCTTCTGCTTTTATTTTGAAATGCAACTATTAAATTATTCCTGGATTGCATTTGATTCTTTGAATTCATCAGTATTTAGTTTATATTGGTTGATTTAGGTGTGCAGTTTCTTAAACAGTTGGGGCAACCGGACAGCAGATGTTATAACCTTTAACATAAAATCTCCAACAGCCATTTTCTTCTTTCGATGTTCTCCTCCAGAAAAATGCAAAACTGTTTGTGAGCAACATGATATAGTCTTATGCGCGTTTGAATTAGTTAGCCATTGGGACTATATCTACCAGTCATGCATCAGCTAATTTACATGATTTGTTTTAGTTTTCTCGCAAGAACAATCTCGGGGGTTCAACATGCCAGATTTAAATTCTAGCCAGCTAAGGGGAATCTTTAACAAATAAGTCTGAGTACTCCCAATTGTAGTTTTAATAGTTTCCAGAACAATTATCAACCACTAACATGGGAAGAGTGAACTATATAATTCTTGTAGATGTTATTTGCATTTGCATCCTGACCTCATTATGTGTTTCTTGTTCATTAAAGTGACAAAGCTCTATGATGCATGGATTCGTTTCTCTTGCAGTGAGAGAAAAAGTATCATTTCTATTTATCCTTTTAGTAGAGTCATACTTATGCCCTCTTTTTTCCCCCAATTTTTTTGTCATGAACAATTCTCGGGATGGTGATGACGACGTCATTGATAGTGATGAGGAAGGACAACGTGCAGCGGATGTGAAGGGTAGACTTGATAGTTATGTTGGTATCAAAGTGAAGGTTTGTGCTTTCTTTAAATCTTCTCAACAAAGTCTCATTTATGCACCACTTTTATATACGGCAAGTAGCATCCTTTAATTGGGGAAACTTTGTTTGATGTAGACCTCATGAAGGTCTTATTAGGGTAGAATGAATGCTCATTGTTCTGATAATACTTCTAAACTGTCAAATTAGGATGACACAATATAATATCTTGTTGCCCAATGTACTGTATGTCGCAGGTTTGTTTTAGTGGTCAAGGGGAGACCCAATCAATGAAGCAATTATCCGGGGACCAAAAACCTGTTGTTGCACGTGCACTGATCTTTGCAATACAACGTTGTGATCCTGCCCCTTTTTATCTCTTTGATGAGATAGCTGCTGCCTTGGATACTCAATACAGGACAGCTGTTGGAAGTATCCTCTGTTACTGCATCATTCAAACATTTCCTTCTGTGGATTATGCTTTAATTTCAAATCAGTTCCTTATGATTTAAGTCTCGCTGATTTGCTATGTTTAAGGTGCTTAGCTTGATGATAGAAGGAGCAGACCTGTTTTCAATTTCAGATTTTATTGTTAATCTATACATCTTCTTTAGTCTGCTACTTATGGACTAGATTTTGGGATTTGTTACCCATTCCATTCTATATTTATTCGTATATTTGGACAGAAAACAAGAAACCAAGTATTGAATCCTTTTGGTTTGCTGATGCAATTAATCCATTCTGCTCCTAAGTAACTAGACCATCAGTATCTGGTTAGTTTAAATCGAAGATGATCACCTCTTTATTTCTTTATTCCATGTAATACTTGTGGTTAGGGCCTGGAGCTTGTGCCAAAATTTTTTTGTAGCCGTTAGTTAAGTTACCTCCCATGTCATTTTCTTCTGTTGTTTAGTATTGACCAATGATATTTCATCGAATATCCTCCAGAATGCATATTCTCTTGATCATATTCGAGTAACCTTGAATCTCTTTTTGGATTTGTCCTTCTCAGGTTGAATGTGATAAGCTTTGGTAGCTTTACTTTTAGTTATTGGACCAGATGTTTGGTTCTGGAGCATAATGACTTTGTTTTAGTAACATATTGTCTTCATCTTGAAATGTTGAAGGTTCTCTTAATTTCCTCGTAGTATGTTCTGTCTAGTTGCAATATCTTTGCAAATAGTTTCATCTAGTCTTTTCTTTCACTTTCCCTTTTCCTTTCATTTACATAGGGTAACATTCTGCATCTGTTTCCTGCATAGCACTTTCTTTTTGATATTCTGGATTATAAAATGCGTTTTCAATCATTACAAGATCTGACTTCCACTATGCATTAATAGTTTCAATTTAATTTCACGTTTTCTTGTATCGTATTTACTCTGTTAGTGGCATCCTTTAACTTAAAACTCCATAGAGATGGTAAGGCATTTGGCAGATACAAAAGATGCACAGTTCATCACCACGACATTTCGGCCTGAGCTTGTGAAAGTGGCTGATAAAATCTATGGTGTCAAGCACAAAAAGGGGGTTAGCAGTGTGAATGTAATGTCGATGGAAGAAGCTTTGGGCTTCATTGCCAAAAACGCTGAGTGAGGTCAGCCTTTCCCGTACAGTTGCACCTTCTTTGTTGCTCAGCTGGATTTATGTTATAATAAGAAATAGTTTGGACTGTGTGGTCTTAACTGTACGCCGTTCAAATTCCAAACTGCAGACGGCCCGGTGAAAACACACAAGAATAGCAGCGGTTTGGGCTTCATCAGCATGGGACATCTACTCGGAAGATGGAGATTGAAAGAAGGCTATACCATTTGCTGCCAAACAGATTCTGAGAATTAGGTGTGGATATTTTTGTGAAAAAGACATGATCTTCTGTAATATGAATAGTACTAGTATTTTACTTTTCTAACAAGCGCGTGGTGCTTTAAGCTGGCTCAAACCCGGCTCAGACTAATCCTCATTCGACTTGTAAAAGGTTGCAAGAGTCTCCTGGCATTGTGTTTCCCATTGAAAGGGCTCGAACCGGAGACACGTGCTTTAGGAGGCTAAGCTCCATACCACTTAGCCAACAAGTGTCGGTCTACTCAAAATGCATTACATTTTCAAATACCTTTTTTTTTTTTTTTTTTTCTCTCTCTCTCTGTGAAAAATCCCAGTACTCAAAAGGCAACATATCTGCACACAATAATGTCCACTTTTCGACTAGTAGTAGTGATTTGAATTTGTACAGGTTAGCTAGGCAGGTGTAAATTAAGAGCATGGAGATTTGTTTAGGTGAGAAGATTAAGAAGAAAAAAAGTAGATTATAATATGGTTTAAACTAGAGAAGAAAAAAGCTGACTACTGCTAATTTTGTGATGAGTAACAAAGTCGATCGAGGTGCCCAGACTGTATAATTTTCCACCTTGGCGAGCATGCAAACATCCAGTCGACACCTTGGTGGAAACTGACCCAGTCGAGTGCGGCGCTGGCTTCACGGTTTCACGTAATCACATGGTGCACACAGACAGCGTCTCCGTCGAGTTTGGCATCGGGTTCTCCGTGGGGCTTATATAGCAAGGAACTCAAGGGAGCTTTATTTATGCACACAAAATCAATTAAACGTCCTTTCCACGGCTGAATTCGCTTTGGATCGAAGCAAGACTTTAAATAGCATACAGCTTTTGTGCAAAGGAAGGATCTCCGGTTTTGTGTTTGAATAATTTGCGGATCTTTTGAACAAATCATGGATGAGTTGGAGTTATTATAATTCCATGCCGCGGCCTATTCGTTGAGGAGCTCATCACTCGAGAGCAATTTATGTTCGGATTTGGAACTTGGAAGAAAGAAAACGAGAGTTTATCTGTTTATGGATAACAGGGAAATCAAAACATTTGTAGCGAGTTCCAGCAATTTGGCCTGAGCGCTTGGAAAACTCAAGACAGACAACGAAGCTAAAGTGTAAGATATGCTAGCAAAACAATTCGCCGGACAGAGATATCCAGGTCGCAATCGGAATTTCGAAGTTGAAAGTGAAAGATGAGCTGCCGGCTGTGGATATATAAGAGTTTTGGAACACTAAATTTAGAGCGAAAGTAGGAAAGCGTATACACACACTCACCCAGCAATCTGCGATTTGGGGAGTTTATAAAGGGAATACACCCGCAATCATATTTCGTTTTTTTTTTTTTTAAATTAAAAAATAATAAGTTAACAACTTTGAGATGACGGTAACAAAATATTTGTGGTTATGTGCAATTGGTATGGATCATGAATACTTTTCTGCAATTGACCATTAGCAAATGTATATGTTGGACTAAAGAGCTCAACATAACTTCTGCATGAATACATCCAGTTGAACTTTTCAGCAAAATAGGGTATATATATATATATATATATATATATATATATATATATGTATGTCTTAATTATGATTTAATTGATTGCAGTCAAACGGAAGGTATTTCACATTCATAGCGTGCCGAAGAATCCCCCTTTGATATGGTTCTAATAATACACTAAACACCTTTTGGACCTGAATAAAGAAAAAATCTGTATATAAACCAAAAAACAAAAAAAAAAATTACATTTACATTCCACATTAATTTAATCTGGCTGAGAAGATTAAATACCATCTAAGATGCATGAAAAATACCATCTTCATAATGCTCTGATACCAAGTTGGCGTGGGGCTGGGGCCTTGGCCAGTGCTTATCTTAGCCGGTAAGACCAGGCAAACAGACTAGCAAGGAAACCAGGCCGGAATCCAAACCACCACCCTGGCTGATACCATTCATCCGGGAGCTATGCCATGTCAGCCAGCTACAGGATCAAAATCTCTATCCATCCTTAATTAAAATATCAATAATCAAGATGCATGGAAAAGTTTCACCCGACTCTCAAGCCTGTCTGGAATCCACAACTTCTTGTGCATCATGTGGCCTCTTTTTCCCCTTAAACAATTCATCATAACGGGTACTTTTCCAGCCCAATGCACTTATTGTTGAGTTTTCCGACTGAACTCGGAATCGGAACCAATTCGTGTAAAGCTTAAACGTTGGATGCTCCCCTCCCTATTGAACTGACATAATCAAGTGATTATAAAAATGTTATTAGTCATGTTTGAACTGCTTAACTTCGGGCTATGTGCAATTAATAACTTCACCGTAGAGCATCAGCTCTTTTATTTTTTATTTTTTTTTAATTTTTTTTTATCCTGGAGCTTTCTCTTCAATTACTTTCGAAACCAAACTAGATCGTGTCTACTATGATATGAAAGAGTAACAACTTTTTTTTACTTGATTCAGTAATTCTGCTTTTGAAATCAACCTTGATGTCTCCAATAATGTCTTCATAAATCCGACTTTTAACTATGATAAATCATCACATATTTACAACTCGTAATTCTTCGATTTTGACTAATATAACTTGCTACCCCGCGTCCATCAACAATTAATCCAGGCGATCAGAATCTATTTCGATCATTTTGCTAAGTGTTTCTTCCCCAATCATCAACAATTAATTGGGAGTAGGGTCTCAATTCCGTTTTACAGTTTGTTGATTATTGTGTGATCAGACTCGTGTTTTCTGAGAATCTGCCGGCGAAGCAGACAACACAAATTAGTTTGATTTACGACGACATTGATCTGACATTCGGGAAGGGGTGGCCTGTTGCTACTTGGATGATTGTTTCTTCTTGACAACGAATAACCCCTGTAATATAGATCTCACCGGATTTCTTGTAGATGTTTAATCCGATGAGATTCCACAAATTCGATGAGGCTTTTATAGCAAGGAACTCAAGGGAGTTTAAACAGGAGGCAAATCAGGACAGCTGAATGTCTTCTTAATCGAAGCATGGTTGTTAGCAAACAGCTTTTCTGTAAGAGAACCATCTCCGATTTGCGATCGGGAACACAGAAACATCTGCCGATCTCTTGATGAAATGATGGAAGACATTGAAAGATAAAATTCCCTTCTCAGCAGCATAAATCAAATCCAGCACCAGTTCCTATTTGGAAGTCGGAAACTTAAATGGAGACATTCCTAGTGATTCTATGCGGTTTGTCTGAGTGCTTTGGAACTCAGAACGACACAAAGATGATAGAAGAAGAAGGGTTAACAAATTGTAAAGTTGAAATGAGAGGCCCTAAAAATAGAGTGAAGTAGGAAGGCATATCATACCCCCGGCAAGCTGTGCCTTTGGTCATTTATAAAGGGATTGCCGAGGCAATTGCTTAAAAAAATTTTAAAAATAAGAAATTACGAAGTAATTTGAAACGAAAAGGCTAAATAGACTTTAGACAACCTGGCAACATTTCATTATATTGATGTGACGAATTCTTGTACAGTTGGTGCAAAATGGCTTTGGGAAGTCTTTAAAATTTGACAGCCTTTTTCATTAGGATCATGTATAGGTCATGTTCTGGACCATCACTTTTTCTATTGAGTAACTTATCATTTTCATATTGAAATATTGATTTTTTCTGTATTTTACTCTTGTGGTGGTCATATTGAACGTGTTTACTGCGCGTGC